TTCACATTCTGTCTCTCACAGTTGAAGTGTACCTCTGGTGCAAATTACTGACCTCTGTCATCATTTTAAGTGGGGGAACTTGCACAATGACTAAATACTTTTTTGCCCCACTGTATGTGTACCTTTTTATCTTGAAGAAATGTGTTTGTGAATGCAGCTACACAACCTTGTCGTTCTGATTTGAATCACTGCTTTATAGCAATATTAAAACACCATGTTTTTTTGTACAGCTGGACGGACAGCCGATGCACCCCTACGCAGACTCTCATATGGGCTCCCGTTCTCTGCCCAACTCCTCGTCAGAGATGTGCCTGAGGAGCCAGGAGGAGCAAATGGAGGCCAGGACCAACATGAGAAAACACAGCTCCCTGAGCAGACTGACTAGAGATAGCTTGGATGGAGATGGTGTGGTGTTCTACGGCTCCCCCCGCAGGATTGTGGATAGCTGTGTGCAGACTGACGATGAAGATGGAGAGGAGAGGTAAACAGTGTGTGAGTGTATGGAGTGACTGGGAAAGAGGAGGGGTGTAAGAGGTGAAACTGTGTGTATATAGGCAAAGGTTATTTTAATAGCCTTGCAATTTACTTCACGTGTCTGTAATTAAATTTAAGACCCAAGGAGAAACAGGTTTTATTAATATTTTATGAATAATGCCATGTAGAATAAATCAATCACTTGAAGGAAAGGTTGGAACAATAGTATATACAGTAGCATACTAACATAAAAAAAGTTCACACTCAGAAAGGATGAGGATAAATGTTTGTGTTAACAATTTATATTCATAGCATTTTATTGCATTGTAGTTATCACTTTTTCATACCCTATAATGCCAGTAGATTTACAAAATTACCTGACAGCAACCTAAATATACTTCTTTATTTTTTGTTTTTTGTGTATTTTCTCCATCGCCAGGTACATGATGCGTCATCGCACCAGGAGGCGTGGTCGCAGCGTTGACTGCTCTGTCCAGACGGATGATGACGAGGACAAGGCTGAGACAGAGCATCCGGTCCGCCGAAGGCGCTCGCGTTTCTCAAGGCACTCTGAGTCCAGTGCAGCTGGCAGCAGCACTGCCACTACAGCCACCTTAGCTACTGATACCAAAACTGACAAAACTAAGATGGTTTCCTCCAATATTGGCGTTCAAACAATCAGGGAAATGTCTTGCCAGACGGAAGTGGAGCACCTAGGAAGAGTCTCCCCAGCAATCCATGTGACAGTACCAGACCCTAACAAAGTAGAGATTGTGCACTATATCTCTGGACCAGAGCGAACTCAAAAAGGACAATCTCTAGCTTGCCAGACTGATCCAGAAGCCCAGTCACAGGGAGTTGTAGCTCCACAGCTAAGCGTACCAACCACAGTCAGTCCATATTCGTCCTCTGCCGGTACTGGCACACAACAGTCAGGTTCTGACCTTCTCACCCACCAACGCCAGCAGCAGATTGCTGCAAATGCTGCCAAATTTGAGCGACGACGCCCTGACCCACTCGACATTAATTACCAGCCTCACAACCATCTCCACAATGAATCGATCTCCAGCATCATTCGCCAGCAGCAAACAGCCCCCAAATCTCCACAAGTCCTCTACTCTCCGGTCTCTCCGGTGTCCCCTCACCGCCTCATAGAGACTTCTCTGTCAAGCGAGCGACTGAACAAGGCCCACGTAACACCTCAGCAGAAGTCCTACACAGCCGAATCTCCCCAGCGACACCCCTCTGTGCCCCGACCCATCAAGAGCACTCAGAGGTCAATGTCAGATCCCAAGCCTCTAAGCCCCACCACAGATGAGCACACGAAGGCCAGGTTGTCCCTGTATCAACAACAAGCACTTCAGAACCAGGTAAAGCCATTCAAACCATGGTGACATACACTAAAATCCATTTAAATTTATAGTTAATGATGTTATTCAGATGGATACAGTCTAGATAACCTAAAATATCACTGGATATTGTTAAAAAAAGAACAAATTTTATAGGAAAAATGACAGCACTGGTTAACTTTCACACAAAATTATCTAAAATTTTGTCAAAGTTTTAGTTGAAAAGAAAGTGGGATGAACATTAAATCCTGTTATTTCAACTTTTTAGCTGAAAATAAAGCAATGCACAGATGATGATTCTGTATGCAAAGCTTACAGTAGTATCCAAAAGATGTAAAGTTTGTTTTACTATTTATTACTTTTCATATGTTACATCCTTCATGCTACATTCATATTTTAATTCAGAGTGAAGAGATTTATAAGCCGCATATAAAACAGTAAAATCAAATGATAGACTAAAAAAGTGGAAAAATATTTTTAACAATTAATAAATAAATTGATACATTTTAAACTCTTGCAGTTAGCACATTCAATAATGTTGCTCTCAACAACAGGCTCAGTTTTATATTGTTTATTTGAGTCAAAACCTAGCAAGGGCATTAATACTGAATGACCTCTGTGTAACTTTGAAGCCATTTCTTTCATTCGATGTTGCCCTTGTTTTCATTTTCTGAGTGCTATGAATGTTTCATGTGGATGCTATGATGAGTAATTCCCTTTGTTAGATTATTTTTCAGATTTTGTTATTGTTTTGTAGTTTTATGACCTCATCTTCTGTTTGAAACCAGTAACACCTCAGCAGTAGCTGGCATGCAAAGTCAAAGTGTGCTCTATTATTGAGGTCTCTTGAGTTACTCTGGGCCTTGATTTTAAAAACTGATAAAGAGCCTAGCAGCTTGCCCACAAACTAACTAAATGTTATCAAACTACAAAACTTCAGTTTATCTCCGACTAAATTGATAAAGGTCTATGCTGTTTCAACAATTTACATATTATGGTAAATGGACTGGTTCTTATATAGCGCTTCTCTACTCTACCTGAACACTCAAAGCACTTTATACAACATGCCTCATTCACCAATTCAGACCCATTCATACAAGCACATTTTTTTTCTATGCCCTAAGTGCTTTCTGCCTAACATTCACACACATTCACACTCCAGTTGCTGCCTGACCTGCTCTACCTCCTGAGCTACAGCCACGCCTATTATTTAACTGGGGTTTGAAGAGTAAAAAACAAAAACATTAAGCCATAACTGTGACCCATTCTGTGTATTTAAACTGTTTCAATGATAACAGAAACTCCCTTGCTCGCATAGCAGGAGCAATAACTCTTTAAAATGGACATTACATACTTACCTATATTGTCTCAACAACCATACCTGAAAATCAATTAACAACAATAGCTTAGGGAATTAATTAATGCCCCCACACAAAACACTGTGCTACAATATGACAGTAAAATGGTTGTCTGAAAAAAACAGAATTAAAAAAAGGACCTATAAAACATATGTGAACAGTCACATTTGATACAGATGCTACTAGAATGTTCGTGCACAGACTGTAGACTAGTAGATCTCAGGACTGTTTTGAGCTTAAGTGCAATTACTTAAGAATGCTTTAGTGTACATTACATTTATTTGAAGTTTATGTTATGTTATTAATAGCAGCTCAGACTGAGACAGTATTTTAACTCTTCTGTTTCAGCCAAATTGTCCTAACAATGACAGCTGGTGTCAATGAGTGTAAAATCTACCCTAGTAAAGCCAAAGACACACACCCTAATACCCTAAGAACAACTCTTCACCTCTCAATTTTCAACCAACTTTCAACTCTGTTGAAATGTGGCAAAGATGTTGCTTAACTTGTTTTGGGTAACAACAACTACCCATCCGGTTTTGTCATGGGTGAGCGTTATTGTTATTATTTTTTTAATGCTGTGATGTACGGTTGAGGTCAGAAGTTTACATACACTAGTCATGGATGTATGCAAATGTATAAGTTGGGGCTTTTATTGATTTTGTTGAACTCAGTAAAATGATTATACATCATACATCTTTCACAATTTTAGAGAACAAGAATTGGACTGAAAATTGAAAAGTATACATACACCCCCAATAATATTTGGTTGAATCTTCCTCAGTTGGTTGCATCATGACTGCATGTTTTTTTAACCATCAACAAGCTTCTGACATAATTCTGGCTGGATATCTGACCACTTTTCTCTTGCAGAATTAGAATAGTTTATTTAATTTGGTTGGTTTCTTGGCATGGACCCAGTTTCGAAACATAGTCCAAAAATTTTCAGACACAGGACATACCAGAAGCTTAATGTTAATCAACCATCGAACCATTGGTGAAGTTGAAGAATTTGGAGGTAGTCCTCCTTCTTCATTATTCCATCCACTTTATGCAATGTACCAGCACAACTGGCAGCAAAACAGCCCCAAAACATGATGCTACCACCACCATGCTTTGCAGTTGGCACTGTTTTCCTAGATTGGAACTCCTGAATTTTACTTGCCCAAACAAACCTGTAGCCATTGCGGCCAAACAGCTGTCTCGTCTGACCCTAAAGCTTTTCTCCGGAAAGGATTTAGAAGTTTCAGTCTTGTTTGTGGCTAAGATTTTGAAGCAGGGATATTTTCTTTCGCAGTAAGCACTCTCTCAGTTCATAGCGATATTTCCTCTCGTTTTCAGGGTGAAGTTTAGGTTTTTGTCTAGATCTTTTGTAGAAAGAGAAACTCCAAAATGACATTCATCCTCTAAAATGTCATTCTGACCCCAACTGTACCTCTATACATACATATATATATATATATATATATATATATATCATTGTATTCTTGTATAGTATATTTTCTGACCCTTTGAAAAGTGTTTCATAGTGTATTTTTCACTGCCTCCATGTTAGGATTGTGAAAATAATAGATCCCAGAGGGGATTTCTCTTTATGCTTCCGCCTACACACAGACTGAAATGAAAAATAACACACAACACACTGTGATCTATTTACAATTTCAATATATGTTTGGTAGGAACAAATGGGATGATATATTATTTACACACAGTATAAAAACAAAGATAAACACAGATTATTTTGATGGTCACATTATTGACTGGTTTTGACAGGGAAGCCCACACAAATTCAGCATTTTATTAATTCAATATTAAGCAGTCAAAATTTACAGCTAAATGAAAAATCAATGATAATCCTAATTTTTGTTCTCTATTTTTAGTAGATTTTACAGTGGAAAATTGTAAAAGCCATGGTGGTTCATTTAGCCAGCCTTTAAATCCAGCTATATCTTCCAGTATATTCATTTGCTTCATTATACTGTACTTCATATGCTTATTATGTTGGGTTTTTTGTTATTCCATGGTGCATTCTAAGGAAGAATATAGATTTTAGCATAACAAAACTACAAGCTGTCTCCACAACCTTTAGTTAAACTTGAGCTTGTTTACTGGTCTCATCATTACTAATTATTTTATAAGAATTTAAAAAAAGAAAAGAAAACATTAACATAAAGGTATAAATCCCAAAATTCTGAAAATATCAACTCAAAACTGTCAAAAAAATTGATTGCATTAGTAGCTATTAAATTAATGGAATACTCTATCACAGTTGCCACTCATTTCACTGTTTTTGTATGTCTGCTAACACAAACTCCACTCTTGTTTCCTGTTGTCCTTGTCCTTTTGTCTATGTGTGTTTCCTTTGTCTCCCTTATATGGCCCTGTCGTTGCGTCCTTTCCTTGTTTCTTCTGTTCTTTGACCCTTTTTTTCTCTTTTTGAGTTTTTCTTCTCCCTTCCTCCTCTTCTACTCATATTTTGTGCATGTCATCTCTCCCGTCAACTCTCTCCCTTTACCTATAACCCTGTACATTAATTTATTTTTCTGATTATATATTTTTTTTTTTTACCTTATTTGTTTCCTCCACCCTTTTTACATCTCACTTATCTGCTCTGCTTAATTGCTTCACCTGTTTTTTCATCTATCTTTGCTATTGATTTTCCCCATTATCCATACCTCGCCATGTTCATCTCAAATTCTCACTTACCCCCCCAACACACACGCACCTCCCATTTCTCCATCCCCCATTCCTATTCCATTGATCTTCCTAACCACTGTTATCACACTGATCTCCTCATTTCCCACATCTGATGTTTTACATCACCAATCCCCTCCATATTCTTCTCCTCTTCCACTCCTTCCCCCGTCTCTCTTTCTTTCTTTCTCTCTTTTCTGTCTCTCTCTCTCCAGCTGGCAGCCCTACAGCAGAGCTCACTGCTCCGCAAGGTCAAGCGAACCCTGCCCAGCCCTCCTCCAGACGAGACTGTTACATCAGCTCACCTGCCCATGATGACACCAGCCCTCCAACAGGTCTACCTGCCCTCCGTGCCCAGCCTCAAGCCCAGCTCCAGGTCTGGCCTGGCTGCGAAAGCCAGCCTCCTCAAAGACCTCACCCATGAGCTCAAGGCCGTGGAGCAAGAGTCAACCAAGCTGAGAAAGCAGCAAGCTGAACTAGAGGAAGAAGAGAAAGAAATTGATGCTAAGCTGAGATACCTTGAGCTGGGGATCCACCAAAGGAAGGAGACATTGGTCAAGGAGAGGGAGAGAAGGGATATTGCCTACCTGAGGTGTATGGGGGACACCAGGGACTATATGTCTGATAGTGAGTTGAATAACTTACGTTTAGCAGCTGCAGCTGCGTCACATGAGAGTAATGGGCTACTAACAACCAGACCAAGCACCGCCCCTCTCAGCCAGTTCACCAGTGACCTCAACACCGCAGCCCAATACCCACCCACCTCATCCTTCCTTTCTTGTCAGTACCCCCAAAGCCAACCAGCAGCTCCATCTCAGCAACCAAGTGTACCATACCAGTCTGCAACATTCAACCAGCCTCCCTACCCAACAGTGTCACAGTCACAGGCACTGCCACAACCCACTCCCCTTCAAACCCATGCTCCCCCTCCTGGACCTACCTATCAACCTCAAACCTCATATCCTTCTCACACCTACCCCCAAACTCAGCCCCCATACCCCCAGACAGACATGGGGTTACCAGCTGCACCTCAGCCTCAGCCTCAGCCAGGGCATACAGGTTTTGGGCCAGCACCACCCGGTCAGCCACCATACCCCACCCACAGCTCACCCTATCCCAGCGCTGTGTCCTCCTACCCCAGCCAGACCACACCATACCCTGGTCAGCCCCAAGCTGATATCCTCACAGTTCATCCAGGAAGACCGAGGCAGACTTCATTGGCCGATCTAGAGCACAAGATGCCCACCAACTATGAGACTATTAGCAACCCTACTGTTGTGGTTACCACTACGGCTCAGGATGCTACCTATTCCAGTGGAGCCCCATCCTATGCTCAGTACACTGGAGCAACAACCATGGCAAGCTCGTATGGGCCCTATGGGTCAGCACCAGTGTCCAGCAGCTACGGTGGGTACTCAACAATGCCCCCCAGTACATATGGCCAATATACTTCCACTACCACAAGTTCATATGGCCAGTATACCACAACTACTGCTAATACTTATGGCTACACCACCACCACAGCCAGCTCATATGGACAGTATACTTCCACTGTGTCCAATGCCTACGGGCACTCTGTAGACAGTCCTTCCACCTACAGCACAGCAGATGGGATGTATGGGGCTCCTGGTTTAGAGCAAAACATTCCGAGGAACTACATGATGATAGATGATGTTAGCGAGCTGACGGCAAAAGATGGGCTGGGCACGATGACAGGGGACATGATGCATCATGGCGGCAGTGGGCGTTACCCGGGCGACATCCACAGCCACAGCAGCACCACTGGCACGACGCGTGGGGGAACTGGCAGCTCCCCTTATGGCAGGGCACCCGAGGAGGAAGCAGCGATGCAGGAAGAGCTGTACGACCACCATGGCAGGGGTAAGAGCAGCTACAGGCACGGACCTCTAGGGGGCAGCAGCAGCGCTAGCATGGGTGGGGGATCCCCCTATTTCTATGACTTCGACTACAAACATGGCAGCATCCGCTCTGGGGTACAGAAACCTTCACCGTCCTCCAGAACCCTTCTGGCTCCTGCTGTCATGTCATCCAAGCGCAGCAAGCACAGGAAGCTGGGGAGTATGGAGCAAAAAATCTCCAAGTTTTCCCCGATTGAGGAGGCACGGGATGTGGAGGCAGACCTGGCCTCCTATTCCTCAGTGACAGGTGCGGCTTACCCCTCCTCTCACATTCGAGGACGCCAGCTGATCGAGGATTATGGTTTTAAGAGGAGTGCTTACGACAGTGGCAGTGGCACCACTCATGGTAGTCGATACTATGGTATGACGGTGGATGAGGACGATCGAATTTACTACACCTCCACTGGCCGTTCCCGCTCCACTGGCTACGGCATGGACAAGATCTCAGCCAGGGACTACTCCGGGTATCGCAGCCGATCCTATGAGAGGGACGACCGCTCCTATCGATCTGGCTACAGGGGGCGCCATCCAACCCGACAATACTCTGAAGAGGAGAGTCCCCTGAGCCCTTTGGGGAGGTTCATGGGTTCTGGGCGATCGTCAAGTTTAGGTCCCGACCCGTATGACAGTCACAGCGGTAGATATAAATACTATTATGGCCATTATGGTTCCAGTCACTCGCTGCCAGATGTTCAAGACCACATAAGGGACCTTCCCCGGACACACGTCTACAAATCGGATGATACATACTTTATAGACGATTATCATTGCGCTGTGTCAGACAGCGAAGGTAATTGTGGGAGATGAAATCCCACACAGTCTCACTACCTTCTACTGCTCCCAACGTTTATCTAAACGTCCCCCACCCACCCAAAGGCTAGGCTTAGCAAAGAAAAAGAAAGTAAAAAAGAGACAGATATAGCTGTTGCATGCTAATGTTTTCGTCATCCTGAGAGTCACTCGGAGCTCTCGTATCAGTGGACTGCTGTCTGTCTGTCTGCCTGCCTGTCCGTCCTTCCGCCTGTCCGTCCAGTCGTCTGTCTGTTCCAAACTCGCATGGTTCTTCGGCGTGGTCGTTTTCGTCATTCGCTACACTCTGATTCACTTGAAAGGTCTTTGCACGACACAAATGCATTGTTTTTTCTTTACAGGTTTTTATCTTTACTTATGTTTTTACATGTGTTTGGATCTACACTGCAAAACAGTCCCCCCCCTATAGGTTTGATATTTATTCCGTCAAAGAGGTGTTATTGTCTCAAATCAGCAATTAAATAGTGGTTGACTGCTTTATATACCTGCTTTGTCTTGCCAGAGCAGTTATACAGTGTCTTTGTGCAGGATATCTGTCCTCCTCTGTCACTGGCTTTTAATTTTGAAAGGAACACAAAAACAGCAGCCAAAGCAGACAGTTTTGCAGTGTTTGTTTTATTCTGGTAATATTGTCTTGTATTGTGTGAAGTTTACATGTTTTAAGTGTTAAGTGCATGGATGTAAAACTTTTATTTTTATTTTTCTGCCCTTCTTTCTGTGTCTACCCCTACCCACTCTTTTCTTTTGCATGCGGTTGGTCTTCTTCCTGCCTTCTTCCTTCTTTCAGCCTGCATGCCGCTGTCTCCGAACGACATGGAGATTGACTGTGATCTGCTCTCGGTTTCCAAAGCCTACCATCTGGGCCAAGAAGAAACCGACTGGTTTGAGAAGCCACGCTCCAGTTCTCGTCACTACGGTAGCAGCCACACTGGGAGGAGCCGGCACAGTGTCAAACACACCTACCATGATTATGATGAGCCTCCTGAGGAGGACCTGTGGCCCCAAGATGAGTATGGCCACACAGGGCGACACTCATCATCTCGCGACCACAGACACCATGGCAGTTCTAGCCGCCATTCTTCCTCCTCACGTCATTCAGATGAGCCTAGGTCCTCAAGATCCTCTAAGGGGCACCCCAAAGACCCATCTATGCGCCATGATCCCTCAGGAAGATCTTCATCTTCAGGAAGACGTGTTGACTCAAGATCCGGTGGGTACCACTCTTCCGACTACTCCCGCGACTCATCTGGGCATCATCATGGCCAGCGTTCCTCCAGACAGGGCGACCCACACAGGTCTTCACGTAGCAAGTCCCAGGGTCCAGTGGACATGCAGGGGCAGCCACCAGGTACATACGAATGTTGAATCTCTTGCCAAACATGATTGGAGCACAGTCTTTGTACTTTGTACCTCAATGTGTAGGTTAATTACAGTGTATTCGAAACCCGTTGACTTAAGTATATTGCAAAATATTGTACAGACTAGAAAGAGTTTATCTAAGTTATTGATTATGTGATTATTGGACTGACTGTTCAATTGATTTATGTTTTCTAATTAACTACACATTTATCTGAGAATTGAAAGCAATTATATATTATTGAATGTTATATTACACACTACGTTATAATGTCATTGTCTTTATAATGAAAGACAATGAAGAAGCAGTAAAAGATGCATCAACTAAAAGTCCTTTTCCTGAGAACAATGGCATTAGATCTCATTCGGATTCTGCTTATGTGGGTGATATAGATTAGACTGAAGTATGTTTCAGTTAGTTTAGTTTAAAATAAAAAAAACACTTATATTGCTTTTTGCCATAAATCTCAAAACTTTTTCATAGTAGCACCTGCACTGTTATATATTCCTAACTAATGAAGCTTGTTTCTTGTTTTTAGTGTCTGATCTAACAATGCTGATCCATCCATAATCTTAATACTGAACACATGATTGTGTCACTTTTATTAATGTGTCTTAAAAAATGAAACTACAGCAGGCACTGGAGTTAATACCGTGTTCTTTTTTAAATCATTTAAGTCTTAGGTAGAAGTATTTAATAACCCCTGTTGTTCAAATTGTGTTTGATGCTTTTTTTACACTCATATATTCCCCCAGGGATCAACATTTTCTAATTAACTATTTTCCAAGAAATGTGTTATCTGCAGGCAGCACCATGGCTGTTTTCTTAGCACTGCAGTCATTAAATCACTGCTTTCATCTATGCTCACAACATTGTTGTGTGTCATCATCTCATGCCTGTGTTTCCTGTCAGTTACTATTACACTGTAATAAAATCTGAAAGTACTTTATAAGGGAAAGCCAGAGTAAGCCGCGTCTTTTATCAGTACATTGTAGTTTTGGTTTTATAAAAGCATAACTTTCTCTGTGGAAGATGGTAGCGGAAATCATCTAACTTGCATAACCGACTTGGAAATGTGTGCACAAGACAAGAAACAGATGATGCAAAGGTCAAAGATGTGTTGACTGAATCCTTTCAGCTGCCAATCATTCCTTCAGTTTTGACAACAGTTACAGGCCTTCAGGCAGTAGCTGCAGAAAAAATCGGTGCTGAATTAATGCCCTGTTTTTTTTATTGACAAGAGGAGTCCATTTTCAAGCAATAGCCACAAACTGTTTATAAAAAACACCCTTTTTTTCCACTCAGGCTCCTCAAGGTCTGGCAGTGGCTCTGCTAGGGCTCAGGGATCTGCTGGTGGGCCTACGGGATCAGGACGGCAAGGTGGCCCGGGTTCCCAGACAGATGGGGCTCCGGGACAGAGGGCTCAACTCCAGCAGCAAGCCCAGACTTCAGCAACCAGACCAGGGCAGCCCGGTGCCACAACAACCACTAGCTCCCAGCAGCAGCCCCAAGCCCAAGGACAAGGCATGGGCATGGGAATGGGAATGGGAATGGGACAGGGCCCGGCCAAACCGGGGCAGATGGGACCAGCAGGTGGACCCATGGGCCAAGCCAGGCAGACAGGTCCAACAGGAACCACAACATCCACAATTGTGAGTACAGAAAGAAAAGATGACTCTTCTAATTAAGGATTTGAGGCTTGTTTTGTTTTCTATTCTGTATGAGGTAAAAATAAAAAAATAGGCATCTTTCGGTGCACTCAAATGGTTCAAATCACATTTCTATTCGACATTTTGAAGAAAATTTCATAAAAGGAGGTTTTTGGTTTTATGAAGTAACATAAGAAGTATTTCATGACCATTACAAAAATATCTTTTAATATTCACATTACATATGCCATCCTACTGCACAGTAACAATTTATTTTGTTTTAGTCCTCCAGCCCTTTCACTTATAAACCTTTTCCCAGTTTTCAGCTTGTCTCCACACTCATCCTTTGCACTCCTCCATCCTCCACTGTCGCTCCACAGTCCCCGAGATAAGAGCTGGTCCTCCTCCCAGTTCAGATAGTATATTGAAATTCTGCCTCGCCTCTGCTGGCAAGTTTTATCTAACACTGTGATTAACAGAGAGGCAGTTGATAACTCAGCGTAGCTGATTCACTGTCTGCTAGATGCTCAAAAAATTCTCACTCGTAAAGTCTCTTTGCAAAAATCTATTCTCACCCTGCATTTCCTCCATAATCAGAAATCCATGTCAATCTATTTTTCTAGCTCAGCGGTCCCCAACCTTTTTTGCGCCACGGACCGGTTTATGCCCGACAATATTTTCACGGACCGGCCTTTAAGGTGTACAACAAAATAAAACTAGTACCGGTACCGAAAAAAAGAAGATTTATTCATAACACATGTGAAAAGACCCAGGAAAACCGAGTTAACAATAAAAACGATAACAAAATAACGCTGAAAACCGATAAAAACCCTGAAAATCATACATTTCACACCTGAGCCTCTACTCTCGTGGCCCGTTACCAAACGACTCATGGACCGGTACCGGTCCGAGGCCCGGGGGTTGGGGACCGCTGTTCTAGCTGAAGCAAAAAAATCTCACTCTGACATTTAACCCAAAACCTGAGATAGTTCAGAGATTCTCTTCATTCAATCTTTAGTAAATATATGAATGACTTTCAAGCTCACAAAGCCACTGTCACCGTGCCGGTTATTACTACCCCAGAATCATTCATAATGTGCTTACAGAGCTGAATGGTGTTCATGATTTTCATTTTGGTACATTAGTATAAAGTCAGCAGGAAAAAAGAAAAGTGAAATTGTTCTTAAAATCTGATGCAAAATTATGCAGGGATGGGTTTTGCAAATGCTTCTGACAGGAAACCATAAACAAAACAAAAAAAATTGCGGTATGATAATTATTCAGCGTGTGAACTCATTCACTTGCACTCTTATGTTGGGTCCATTATGTAATTAAAAAGCATTGATTAAGTGGCTGTAAATAATGAAATTCTGTATGCTGCATTGTGCACCATTATGCATCACCTATGTTCTGCAGCAGCAAAAAGAATGAAATGGAAATGATGCAGCATATTTTGGGATTAAAAATAACAGTCCACTGTCTTTGAAGTCAGGTTTATTTATGGATTGCTTTAAATAGTAGCTTTAAATAAATCGCACACACACAGTTTACAGAAAACAGAGGAGCCAGTCTATCATAAAAGATAAAAATGACAGGGATCCAAACACTGGTTCATATTTCCTGTGTTCAGATAATCCAAGCTGTTACTGTGATGGATATCAGAAATGGTCTGGTGTGTATCTTGCCTGAGGCCATTGTCCATTTAGTTCTCAGATGTTGAATGCAGAGCAGTGGGGTGTCGGGGTGGGGGTTTGAGGGAGAGGGACACAACAGCACAGAAACTTTCAAACTGCTCACAATGACACAGCAGATTCAAATAAATCAACTGAACCTTTTAGCTCCAGTACTGGCAACTTTGTGTCACATAGATGAGAGCCAAGGGAATAAATGGATTAAATATGGATTTGATTGACAGCAACATCAGAACTCAAGATAAAAAAAATGAAAAGAAATGAAATGAAATGAAGCATTTTTATATAAAACTTTACTTTGGTAGTTAGTAGTAATTCTTTCCAGGGGTTTTAAAAGTATCAAACACACTGATCAGGCATAACATTATGACCACCTCTCTAATATTGCGTTGGTTCCCCATTTGCTGCCTAAACAGCCCTGACCCTGTCAAGGTACCCCTGAAGGTGTGTTGTG